AAAACAACTTATATTCATTTGTTTATGAAATTACCTGTGCAACTTTTTTCCTTGCAAAAACAAACATGCTTTAATGAAGACATTTAAGGAGCATCACATAAGACACAAACATGGAGAAGAGATCCTTACGTGCTTTAGTGCTAACCTCAAAGAAACTAGTAGAAAATTATGCATGTTGAAGCTTCTTTGGATGATACTGATGTCGACGCAAAGAAGTGAGGACAGCGCAGTACATCAGAAGGGAGTTACTAAGATTCATGTAGAATAAATACCGCATTAAGAAGATGTATATATACACATACATACGTATATTACCGTGCCATCAGATATGCTTTTTGGTAGTAGGGAGAATCCATGAAGCTCAGGATAGATAGCGCATTTGGATGAGAACACAGAGTTCCTTCCTCACCATCTATGGCGCTATCCCTCCTGAGCTTTACAGATTGTTCCATACTTTTAGAACCCACAACATGGTATCTTTAATCTTCTGACTCAGAAGGTAGAAGAAGAAGATGATGATGATGACAATGATATCAAAAGGAGGAAGAGGAGAGGGTTGCTTGCAGAGAGAAGCCGAGGAGTGAGGAATGCAGTGGCCAAGAGGGTCTATTTATAGCTGAATGGCTGCATGGGTGGGTGAGTGGTGGTGGGGTGAGAGGATGTGTGAGAAGGCACAGGACAAAGTCACACACCTCTCCTTGGGCAGTCCTCTTCCTGATGTGTGTAGATGAGTAGGTAGTAAATTTAAGCTGCACCAATCATTTCCAGATAGCTCTGACTGATGGATGGATGCCTCATGGAAGATGGTGGAACTTTTCTCCTTGACTTTTAGTCCTTGGAAGTTCCAGCCCATTTCTTCCACCTGAGGCCTGAGCATTGTTAGGTTTTGTTGCAGTTGCTGGCTTTACCAGCTCTGGTGATTGCCCATTAATGGTTCATACAGTGGAATTCCTTACATGCCAATGTTTAGCTTCGCAAGCTTTAATTGCTGCCTTTATTTCGACCTTTTAGCTCTCGATATGGTCTCACCGAGCCCTAAAGAGGTCTCATCATCTTCCTCCATTTCCTTTCTTCGAGTTGCTCTGTGTTAGAGATTGCAACATATCCAGCGCTCGTTGCTGTTCCCTCGAGGGCGAGCTCCATTTCCACTGACCCTTGGAACTTGGGCAACCCTCTCTCTGGTCTCTCCCCTCCCCCGGTTCTCGTGGCTCGCCGGCCACTGACTGTTCGTACGTATTACCCCCCTCCCTCCCTCATCTCCTCACCAACACCGAGGGCGTCACTCGAATGGCTAAAGGACAGTGATGGCCCCTCTCCCCCACCCCCCTACTCTCTCCCTCGGCTCTGACTGACCTCTCAGCTGACACGCCAAATAATTTATGCGCCTTTGGCTGCACCTCCTCGGAGGTTTCCGGGCTGTGACTCAGCTCTCCGCCTCTCTCTCTCTCTCTCTCTCTCTCTCTCTCTATTACTGTGTGAGTACTACCCCTGTGCGAAAAGGTTAACCTAAATCATCTCCTGTAGAGTTCCGGTGCATGATCGGAATCATTCAGGTCTTCTGCGCTTTTCTGTGCACAGGACTTGATTGGTACCAGTAAGATCCATGCAAGGTCCTGCCAACATTTGATCTTTTGTGCTTTGATGTGCAGGAGACCTGCTTGGTGCCACCAAGATCCATGCATGGCCCTGCAACGTGTCCTTTCCTTTGTAATGGAGATAAGATGAGTCCACCTTCCTCATATCACAACATCATTAACCAGTTTATTAGCTCCTCCTCTCACATGGATACGGGATGATGGGTCTTTAAGGGAAGAACCAGGTTTACTCACAGATCCATGTCCCTTTGCTTTGACGCCGATGAAACTTGGAATCCAATCTGTACTACCAGTGGCAGAAACGAGGCCAAACCAGCTCCTGGTTTCTACCAAAAGAATTGCTATCCCTACTGGGTTTTGACCAACACAGTAAGAGATGGCAAACACAGAGTGACTTGAAGAGTCCCAATGGTTCTTCTTTCGATTTCACCTGCGTCTCGTTCTGTCATCCATTCCGTTCCAGAGTTCCAATATATACCAATCGATTAAGATAGGTTAATTGTTTGGATACGTGTGCAGGAGTTGACTCTCTTGACTCATCTTCAACACCAAAAAAGATGGACTGCAGAGGCTTTGAAATGTATATATATTGAGATTCGGATCTGAATCCGATAAGTGCATTAGAATCCGCAACGGAAATCCCTTTAGCATGACAATAATCATATGATGAACATTTGTGGGGAGTTATCGGATCTAGAGTTGTAGTTGGATCCAAATGCGGATACGAAGTTATTGGATGTAAGAATTGAGATCCGCACCTCCCGATGGCTTCATGGATTCGAATCCCCACCCACATAGAATTGTCCGAGAAGATGAAAGGCTGAACCGTAGGATTGTTGGTGTCTTGCTATAAGATGTGCGCTCGATCACGACACGACTAAGACCGGCGATCCGAGAACTGCTGCTCTGGCCGGCGAAGCGTCGAAGAACCCTGTCGCCTCGCGCTCTGGCCGATCCCTCTCGCTGCGCCACGGAGCCGCCTTCCCTTTTCGATCCGAGCGACGGCGGTCGGAGCGTTTCATTCAGAGGACGTATGAACCCTCTACTTGCCTTTTTGATCTCTTTAGCGGGCTGTGTTTCCGTGATTGATTGGATTCGTTTGAAACCCTGTTCTTGGTAGCTCTCGTTGGAGATCTTTTGATCGTGTCGTGCTTGTGGTTTCCTTGGATCATTTCAAGAGTTTGTTTCCGAGTGACCTCATGGCGCGAAAATTTTGTTTGGGCTTCGCTTGAATCATTGATAGAATGTACGAATCTTCCATTGGATTAGAACCCTCTTGTTGGTATCCCCTCTTTGTGTTCTTTTACTCGGGTTGCGCTTGTGGCTTTCCCTCGATCATTTCAAGAATCTGTTCCTGTGTGATCTCATGGCGCGAAAATATTGTTCCGGTTTTTCGTGATTCAGCG